CCACCCCGCCTTGAAAAACAAAAAAACTATTTCTACATCTTTTAAAGTCGCAGAAGTAACGGAATAATCATGTTTTTGAGCGTGTCTCCCCTATATTGATCTATGCAGGCTTTGAACATGCGCAATAAAAACCGACAATGAGAGTAGGCGAGTTCAACAGCTGTGAATCGTCGAAAAATCTTACCAGAAACACCGGGATCAGAGGGCGGTGCGCCAAACAAACTCAGAGGATAGTGTGCTGGGAATCCGTACTCATCGAACATGGGCAATCGGAGCGCGGAACCGGCCACGATCACGATTAAATGAAGCAATCCGACCAGGAATTTGACTGTCTCGTCGATCGTGATCAAACCGAATACCTCAGTCGAATCGAGATTGTCGAACTCGCTCCCTTGATCACCTAGATGACGAAGCTGAGATTCCAAAAATGGATTACCGGCATCGAAAGCGCAGAATTTTAAATTAGTGAACACCGAGTGCACCGCGAAAGCAGTTGTTTTGACTGTTAATCAAGTTACATCAGGTCAGATCACGTCTACAAAGATTTAACGCATCTAAGCGGTAAACGTTTTTGAGATTGTACATCATTATTATGCACTGAACATAGTTGTGAAAACTATTGTCAAAATGTTGCGGAAAAAGCACAAATAATTTAGTAACAGAACATGATCAGTTAAACCTAAAAAACGCGAGTAAAATGCCGAGTGAGACTGATCATGCCAGTGGTGAGTGGTATGAACAGGCAGAGATTCGAAAACTGGAGCGTGTACGAATATGTGACAGAGATTTTGCACACCCATCATGTAATAGTTTTCATCAAAAAACTCTTCACCAAGCAACTCCTCACAGACATTAAAATGATCAAAAATAATAACATCAATCAAAATATCTTCCGCAACATCGTGGAAAGAACTGTAAATGAACTAGAGAACAGGATAAAGTCCCAATCTTCTAGTACAAGATAGGAAAACCAGATAACCAGTGCGGAAAATTCAAGCAAACAAACTTAAATACAAAAGGCTATTGTGAAATGTAAGCGTGCCAAGATAAGTTCAGTTTAGTTCTTACAACCATTAACCATGCACTTTCGTGCGCCGGTTTTGGCTACTGTCTTTTGGTTGCCCATTTGGATAAAATAGCAGAATGATGATTAGAATGTTGAGAGCAGATTCCAGCGAAAGGTAGCACATTTTCATAGACTGAAGTTACAAGAATAATAATGTTTGCGACACCCAGCCATATCGCTCAGTGTCTCTAACCACCGGTGACCATGATCTCTGGGTCCCCAGCCAGGGAGCATAACGGGACCTATGTGAGCCAGTTTCCTGGTCAGGGTTTTCATACCTGCATGCCAGGTCTTAGCTTGATCGCCCTTCATTTTTTTCTAACCGCTACCTGCCTCGCCAAGCATCGCTCGCCGTGGCAACCTATCTGGTGACGTGCGCAGCACATGCCCCAATCAGCGTAATCTATGAAGGTCGACTACCTGTTCCAGTGGACGACCGCGATTACCTAAAACTCTACGCCAAAATAAATGGCAATATCGCCCTTGGGTATATTGTAACTGTGAACGGCACAATAAGAAAGATTGATAAAAACATGGCGCTGTTCGAACCTAGCCAGAGATGACGACAGAAGACCGATTTGTAGTACGTTTACTGTGCTTCCTATGAGTCTTCATGCTCCACTTATTTCACAAATGCGGCATACCATTTGTGTCATTGATGAAAAACAAACGTGATTCTTTTAACCAAAGCAGTTTCCATCCGCCCTAATGATACTCTCCCTCTCGCTGTCTCTCTCTCTCTCTATTAGTCCGGTGATCCTCAAGGTTCTGTGCTCTAAACCACTTGACTCCTTTTCATTACGATCCACACTGTTCTCCTTCTTATTCCCCGCCGTCAGTTCTAACACTAATCGCGACCGTGGTGAACTTGGATTTTCTCAGTTTCGATCCTGGACATTACTCCCGTTGGAGTACCAACAACCGGGTCTTTCCTATGCTGTCGTCCAGTTTAAAACCACACCTAACGTAGGGGAGCCTTATGTGGTTCGCCACTCCCATTCCCGCGGTTCTGGTTATCAGTTTCCAACACTGAACAGTAGGTTTTTGTGACTATGGGGTCCATCCTGTCCACCGTTCACCTTACAAGTGTGTGTAACAAAAAACGAATTTCCTGCAGTTCATTAAATACAAACATCAATCTTTCTCTCGTGAATTCATTTCGATTCTGTCCCATGCGGTTTTTTATCGTCTACATGAATTTCGTGCCCTACTTCTTGTCATATGCCCTAGATCGGTTTATTATTCCGCGTCAGTAATAATAATTTCGTTCTTATGACTAAGCTACCTGCACACGCCTAAACCTCGAATACTGAAGTCATAAGAGGAGCAGTGTTTTGTCCTCATCCAGTCTCGCTTCTAATGTATTAGGCCCAGGGCAATTCGTCTTCTTTCAAGGGGGACATGCAGTCACTAGCCCTCTCACTGGGCGGTTGGCGATTCACCTCTTTTTATCCTTGTCACTCCAGATTTCGCGAGCTGGCTTCACATATCCTTCGCTCTTCTACATTCACCGGCTAATGTTGAGCTCAGACAGACAGTCAGTCGTATTAGATATCTGTTTAGGGACAGAGAAACGGGGCAACACTCTTCACCTGTTGTACTCTCTTTGATCCCCAGTTGGATCGATGGAGTCGCACTGCTGATGAGACCCAACCAGGTGGAAACAGCTGTCCAGTGCTTCCTAGTTTTTCAGTTCACGCTTCATTTGCTATATATTTGAAATCATTGTATTGTGCAATACTAAGCGTGAAAAACAGGAATTAAAAAATAACCCTATGACAGTTACCTTTGTTGAGCTCCCAGGTACACCAGCAAGCCCCAGACCGCCTTCCTCCATAGGACTGGCGATCTCATGTCGCCAGGACTGAAGTTCTGTGTCTTGAAGTAGGTCTTCGGTACCCCGAGCTGTCAACAAGTGGTAAACAAACGGTTTGACAGCAATCACTGAATGAAGAGTGCGGAAAAATTAACATTACAGGTCGAGTCCTGGTAGTGGCACAAAACGTGTCCACTGTGTTGACGGGTTCCGAAATGGACAAGCTATCGAGACAATAAAAATGGATACGAGTTCAATGGCCAAATTCTGAGGATCACAAACAAACAAACAATATACTTACGATACACGTAGCGCACAAACTTGTTCACGTATTTCTCAAATATCCGATGAATCAACAGAGCATCTTGTCGGTACGGATAGTTGCCGAGGCCATGCGGATTGTAGACCTGAAGGGCAAATGGAGGCAACAAAGGGTGTGTGAAATCAATCTTGCGGCGTGAATTCGAGGTAGAGTTTCAATTCACAACTGATACAGGTTAGCACGTTTTATCATGGGCAGCAAATCAAACAATGCACGTGTTGAAAGACTATTATCTCAAACCACAGGATATCAAACTAGGGATTACAAATGAAGAAGTATGCACTGTTGAGGACAAACTTATCTGTCCAACATTAGGTCCTGTCGGACACACCTTACAGCGTCGTCACACGTCGGAGACGAATTGTGACACAACGTCGATTCGCCTAAGGTGGGAGATAGGGGACCGTCGGTTTTCGAACGCCGCTTCACGAGTTCGATGGGGCAACCAAACACGTGACCTTAGGGCTGGGTGAAGAGTATTGGATTTCCGCGATTGCTCCCTAGAACCTAGAATCTCCGCAGATTGCACAGGCTAGGATCATGTGCAACGTAAGTCGCCGGATAAGCTTCCTCGGTGTATGATATTTTCCCAGGCGGGGAATGAGTGACGGGAAGAACACGAAGGGTGGTTAGACACAATGGATGACATGACCGTGGTAAACAGTGGAACGCTCGTGCACCTACTCTCTTCATCCGTGTATCTGTCTGGTTTACTGCATGTAGTATCCTNTATCCTCGTCCCGGGTTTGCCCTACACCTTTCACTCCCCCAATGGTTGACCAAGTAGGTAACTAGAAGACAGCCATTAAAACCAGTGCACATAGGTGCAAGGGGAATAGGTATTGGCTTGATCACAATCCGCCGTAATTTTAGAGGAAATTGATGTTTGTTATCATCATCTACTACTGCTACTGCGACAGATTCCTAGTTAAGATTAAAATATTTTTTGTAGTCAGGCATTCAACGTTATTGATTAGAAACCAGTCATATGCATCAATCCGGGCGGTTTCGGGTCCCACTCACTCCTGTA